CTGGGGGCTGGAAGAATGGTCTGAGTGATGCAAAATGAACCTCAGCAGGTTCGGAAGGGTGATGGGGACATCTTCGGGGTATTTCACACTTAGGTCCTTTCTGGAGAGAAAGGGAAAGGAAGCAAAGACGCGAGTCGGGCCAACACAATTCATCCAAAAGCAGACTGTACCCAAGGCCAGGCCATCACTTCTCACCAAGAAAAGCCATTCCACAGATTTAACTTACTGAAAGTAAGGAAAATGTTGCCCAGGCAAGAAATTCTCTACAAAGCTGAAGCTGTCCCACATGCTTATTCTGTAATTTACATGGCTTATCTATTCCTGAAGCCAGAGCTCAGATTCACCCACACAGTCCAAGAAAGACAGGAGTTCCTAGGCCCAGGCCTAAAGCCAGTGATGCAGGGCCCTGGGAGTGTGTGGGCAGGGGGCCTCTGTGTGCTCGGAGATGCCCAGTGGCTGTGTCAGGAAGAGCGTCCAGGGGAGGCAGGACTGTCCCACCTATGTCCCTCTGTGCCCACTGACAGTGCCCAGAGAAATAGAAAGAACTTGAAGGATACTCAACCTATTACTTTAGCAAGCATTTCTTACACATTATCTAAGGCAGGGGTTCTCAACTGGGGGTGACTTTACCCCCGATCCCTGGGTACATTTGGTTCACACCGGCAATCTGATCCCTGGCAAACAGACCGACCAAGGGACTAGGATTCTGGCTGCCCAGCCCTGAGAGCACAGAAAAAGGAAGGAAGTGACAAAGGAAGGGGTTTTCCCACAGCTTTGTTCCAGGTCCTGATCTAGAGATCTAGAAAATTTCTCTCCAGAACTTGTCATTTAATCATCTGATGAAGTTTCTCTCATACTTCTATTTACCTGTGCCTGTACAGTCTGGCTGCAATCCACCAAAACTACCAGCTTTATGCACTTATGTATGAGGCAGGCCGGCAGCCAGGTTTGTCTCCCTCAGGTGTTAACAGAATAGAAGTCAACAGCAGGGACTCCAGAGCTCGGCTGCCCAGAGCCACTGCACCCAACCATAAAACAGTTTCTATTTTATCTTTCATATTATTTTCACTAAAAATAGCATAAAATTTGGGGGTATGCATTTGACCATCCCCTCCTTTAAAGCTTCATTTTTTTCTTCTTTTTTTTTTTTTTTTTTTTTGAGATGGAGTCTTGCTCGGTCTCCCAGGCTGGAGGGTAGTGGCATGATCTCAGCTCACTGCAACCTCTACCTCCTAGGTTCAAGTGATTCTCCTGCCTCAACCTCCCGAGTAGATGGGATTACAGGTGCCCATCACTACTCCCGGCTAATTTTTGTATGTTTAGTAGAGATGGGGTATCACCATATTGGCCAGACTGATCTCAAACTCCTGACCTTGTGATCTGCCTGCATCGGTTTCCCATAGCGCTGGGATTACAGGCATGAGCCACTGCACCTGGCCAAGCTTAGTTTTCTTAATATATAAATTTTCTTCAAGTGGGGCATCTCAGACATTCAAATGACAAAGCTGGGTGTGGCCCTGGGTACCTGTAATCCCAGTACTTTGGGAGGATGAGGCAGGAGGATCGCTTGAGGCCAGGAGTTTGAGACCAGCCTGGACAATATAGTAAGGCCTCATCTGTACAAAAAAAATAAAATAATTAGCTGGGCAAAGTGGCACACACCTGTAGATCCAGCTACTTGGGAGCCTGACGTGGGAGGATGGCCTGAGCCCAGAAGTTCCAGGCTGCAGTGCTACCTTGTCTCAAAAATAAAAAAACAAAAACACCCCCAGAGCAACTAAAAACATATCATGGCCCTGTGAAGTGGGCCCATGAAACAATACAGAAGCTGGACTTGCCCCAACCTTCCAAGGCACAAGACTGATCTTACGAGGCAGAGTAAAGGTAAATTACTTCCCAGAAAAAGCTGCCAAGATCCCTCAGTATGTCTATCTCAAGAAATTTACAGGACAGTGACATTTGCGAGCATGCTCTCTGCTAAGAGGTCTTGGTGCACTCTCCATGAATGTCCCTAATGGGCATGCTAAAACACTTTGTTAAAGTGGCAAGTACACAGAATATCAACAATCTACTTCCAGGAAAGCAGTAATGTGAAAGTGTGGTGGTAACAGGTCCCAATGTCTATTCCACTCTCCTCTAATCCTGAGGGAATGGCAGGGCACACCTCCAAAAAAGTATGATTCTGGCTGGGCAAGGTGGCTCACATCTATAATCCCAGTACTTTGGAAGGCCAAGGCGGGCGGATCATGAGGTCAGGAGATAGAGACCATCCTGGCTGACACAGTGAAATCCCGTCTCCACTAAAAATATAAAAAATTAGCTGGGCGTCGTGGCATGTACCTGTAGTCCCAGCTACTTGGGAGGCTGAGACAGGAGAATCACTTGAACCAGGAAGGTAGAGGTTGTACTGAGCTGAGATCACGCAACTGCACTCCAGCCTGGGCAACAGAGCAAGAGTCCGTGTCCAAAAAAAAAAGTGTGATTCTTTCCCTGTGGTGGACAGGGGCACCCATCTCCCACTCATCACCTGGCCCAGGGCCAGGCCAAAGCACCTACATTTTGAACTGTCACAGAGTCTGATGCAAGTGCTGGCTAGAGGAGCACCTGCTCAGTGGAGCAAGTGGCTCTGAGACACATCTGCACAGGAAGACTCTGTCTCCCTCAAGGCCCCTCCCCTGCCTCTTCCTCCTGAGGACAGGCTCTTGCATATTTTTTCCTTCATGATTTTTATACTTTGTAGACAATTCACAAGGGATGTAAAAACATACAAGAAGCACCTTCAAATCACTTGCAATCTCACTCCTCTGAAATCACTATCGACACCTCAACTTCTGTGAACATTTCCACCTAACACATGTACAAGTTTCTATTTTATCATAGTAAATATACAATCTCATATTATTTTCACTAAAAATAGCATACACAGGTGGACAGTGAAAAAGGTCTTACTACATGTTATCAAATACCCTTTTTTATTTCCTCTTTTGCAACCTGTCAGCTCATGCTGTTTGCCCATTTACCTTCTGGCTAAACCAAACACTCGCTTGGGACCAGTACATGATGAGCATACTTTACTTCTGACTACCATTTATTTTTAGGAAATGAGAAAAATTCCATTCCAAAGCCATAAGACTTTGTTTACCAACTTCCTTCCATTAAAAGAGAAGTGGACAGTCTTCTTATATATTTACACTCTTGACCTTTCCAGGTCAAGGATAAGGGTAAGGGGCTGCAGGGCTGCAGCAAGTGCCCAGCATGGGGCCAGAGAAATGCGCTCATCTTCATGTTTACTACACTTGGCAGCTTCAGAATGAAGGTCACTTAGCCCAGATGCAGGTCTCCAGATGACGTCCTGACCTGTCACCTGTTTTGCCTATGTCTTCTAAACAGATTCATTTCCGCCAGCTGCTGAGAACTTCTTCATTAAAAGGAATGTGCTGGGTGCTATGATTTTAATATTTTTCTTTTTTTTAATTTGGAATTCAAATAATTCAAAATTTATTCATCATTAAACTACATGCCCAACTCCTGTGCCACAGAGATGAAACTGTTAGTGTTACTGTCCGTGATTCCTGGACTATGTGGTAATTTAAACACTGCTTAGAAAGAAAAAGCCTCATCACAACTCAGTCAGCAGTAAAAAAGGGTGAGTCACATTCTGTTTTTAGTGCATGATTTGACAAGACCCTACTACCACAGAAGTATTCCAGCAAATATGCTTTGAGATACAGAACAAAAACCAAGGGAATGATTCAACAGATATGAAGCAAACACTCTCCTAGAGAAACATGACAAGCTGAATTGCAAAAGGGAGGCAGGTAATTAAAACAGCAAAAGTCACACATGCGAGTCAGGGACTCCCTAAATGATGCGACACTTTCCCCTGGAGAGACGATATTGTCAAAGCCATGTGAGTGGGTCCCCAGAAGGACTCAACTTTCTAAAAACCAGAAGGAATCTATAAAAAGGGAGCAAACGTCCAGTATATTAGGCTCTAAAGGACCAAGCGTTTGTTTTCTTTTCTGAAACATCTGCCATCTACATTCATTAACTAGAAGTCCACTCCCCCTTGTGAATGTCCTGCTTGCTACGGCTTTTGGGGTAGTTGCTGTGAAGATCTGCACCTGGAACACTGGCTAGGCAAGTGTGAAAAAAATTAAGTAACCACCCCATGGCAGACATTCACAGCAGTCTGCACACATGGGAGAAAGTCCCTTTGCAGGGCTCCTGGAACCAAGGCAAGGATGGGATTTCTGCTCCATCTTGCCATGAGCAAGAAAGCCACCCTGTCCTCTGAATGAGAGGGATGAGGAGATGCTGGGAGGCCAATTAAGAGACAGGCAGGCATGTGGAAGGCTTGAGGCAGGCAGGGCTCCAAAGATACTCTGCTGTTTTGACCCACACAAACATGGGGTCTTTTCCTGTCAGTCTCTGAGTCCTCCATATGTTCACATAGGCCATGAAAGCTAAGAAATCTCACAGCTCCATTGAAGCCTCGGTAAGAGATAGACTGTGGGAAGAGCAACCTTCTGTTAAAAGATCCGTACCACACATAACATCTTGACACTACAGGCCTTTTACCCTGTGTCCCCAAGGCAGTTTTTTTTTTTTGAGACAGTCTTGCTCCATCGCCCAGGCTGGAGTGTAGTGTGGTGTGATCTTGGCTCACTGCAACCTCTGTATCCCAGGATTAAGAGATTCTCATGCCTCAGCCTCAGAGTAGCTGGGATTACAGGCATATGCCACTATGCCTGGCTATTTTGTGTAGTGATGGGGTTTCATCATGTTGGCCAGTCTGGTCTCAACTTCCTGAGCTCAAGCAATCTGCCCACCTCAGCCTCCCAAAGTGTTGGGGTTACAGGCGTGGGCTGTAGTGCCTGACTCCTAAGTGAACATTATTTGAACATAATGAATGATTTACATCTTAAAGGCATTTCATTTTCAGACCTCCACAAAAGAATCCCAACTGCCCACTAGTGAAAAAAAAAAATTGGCATTACCTGTTGCAGGGAAAAAACAAGACAGTAGGAAGACGATCAACCATAAATTCCCAAGGAAGGTCATTCTGAGACACATCAATCCTGGCAAAAGAGAAAAACAGAAATGGCAGATCAGCCCAAGAAATGCTAACTTGAAAGAATCTTCTCAGATAACCTCAAGAACCTGGTGCAATTTTTAGACCCCACACCGGGCTAGCCCCTTCACAATGAGTGCACTACTACCAGGTGTGAACTGGGCACTGATACTTCCAAGACATGCAACTTTCCACTATGTGGACACTTTCCACTGAGTGGCGACCCGACATCCTGAAAGGAAAAATGAACTTGCAAAAAAATGCCTCACTGACACCTGAAGAGTAGTTCACGTCTCACCTGACAGGAGCTAGCCAAGTATTTTAATCCCTGAATATTTCTGGAAACAGAAAGGAAATCATTGAGCAAAATCAAGCCTCTCTGAAGATGGAAAATTATACCCTCTTTATGTTGAAAATCTGCAGAGAGGCCAAAAACAGCCTATTTTCTTAGCAGATTTTACATTAACTTTCTAATACGGAAAATGATGTCTATACTACCTCACCCACGGTGCATGGCCTATCTGCTTATATATTTTAAAGAACAGTTGTCATATATTTCATACTCTATTCTTTTCCATTAATTGTATGAAAAGCATTGTTAAGGGATAAAAACTCCATTAAATGCCCAGCCATAATTTACTGAAACATTCCTCTCCTGGTAGATATAAACAGTGCTATAATGATGAGCTCATGCTTCTCTGTAAGTCCTATTCCATTACTTCTCCAAAGTAAAATTAACTGGGTCAAAAATGTGTTAACTGTTTTTGTTTATTTCTTGTGAATGTTGCCAAAATCTGTTCCAAAAGAGTTATGGCAATGTACGTACTCATTCCATTAGATACATCTGACTGCAGTTTCCATTTTATTTTATCAACACAAGATTCTGCCACTTAAAAGCACTGATTAATTTAATATGTTAAATGACACTTTGTTACTGTTTTAATTTATATTTATTAGATTATAATTTCCCCACTTATTTACTCTCTCTTCTAAAGAAAAACCTGCTCACGTCCTTTGTTCACGAAGGCATCTGTCTCAGCTATTTCCTAAAGCATTTTAATCTGGAGGGGAGGCTAGAGTATAAATGCCTGATTCAATCCTGGTCACTCATTTGCAGGTTGAAGCTCTGGCAGCTTGTCTAATTTTTCTATGCCTCAGTCTCCTCAATAAAAAGAGCACTTTCTTTTTTTAACCAGACTGGCTTCACTGAGCGTCCCGAGGACTAAATCAGGTAATATGTATATCTAAAAGTCTCCCAGCAGAGTCACTCCTCAGATTTGGCTCTAATTTTTACTTACAGTGCATGTAACAGGTGACATACAGACACTGGAAAAGATATTAATAGTCCCCCTTTTCGTTTGCTTTCCCTGTTTTCACTGCATGTATTTCTAGCGGAATCTGTCCATTTTTCTTTCTTTATTTTTTAACTGCTTCCACTTTGGAAAGTTTCCATCTCTCAGAGGAACCAACAAATCCTGCTATTTTTTGTTTTTTTATATTTAACTTTTATCTATCTGGAGGGTTTTTCAGAGGTAGGGGGCTAAATTTAAACAATTTTCCCCACCCAAAACTGCTTATACCCCCATCTAAAAACTCTGTATTTGATGCTTCTTTTTCAAAAAATTATTTTTAAGAATTTTGTTTACTCAAAAGCCCACACACAGTACCCATGGAATCACAATACTAGAACGTGGATATTTACAGATCCTTCCTCTTAATTTTGCAAATGAGGAAAACCAGGGCTGGTGGAGAGACCTACTCAAGATCCCAGGGCCCACTGGCATTGCCTGGGGCAACTGTCCCATGGTATTCCAAGGGGCTATCCTGAAAACCAGGTCAGGGCTCTCCCCACAGAACTGCACTTGGCCACCTACAAATCTAGTCAGGGCTAAACATCAACATCATGGAAGGAACACTCAGAATTCATGAGGAAAAGTTCAGTTTCAGTGAGGCTTTGCTCATAGCTTCAACCTGACAATTAAATCCAGCCAAGTCATACCAAAGGTTAATAGAAAATGGGCAGACCTTCGCACACCATATGGCTAAGCTGCAAAGAATGAAAATTGGCACACAGCCCATGCACAACACGCCTGCTCACCTTGCTACAGTGAATGTGTCCATGGGCAGGTTACGAGCTAGCTGGATGAAGACGTGATTGAGAGATGGACAGAAGCCGCACCATGGAGCATAATAGAGAAGGAGAACGTCCTGTGGGAAGGGGAAGACAGCTGTTACTTACACCAGGAAATGAGCTCTTCCTCATTGCTTAGAATCCAGCACGCACTCCATAAATGCTACCTATGTAAATACTGTAGTGAAAATTTTCATCTTTCAGTCCTTCTAATTCTGTGCTTTTTCGAGCACTTTTCTGAAATTTAATTCATTCACGGTCTGAAATCAAACCGTCACGTGGCTCTTCTATACATCAAAAACGTCTGCTCACCCAACAGCTGCAGCTTTGGAAATTATTTTTTTAAGGGGAATAGAGGGCTTGACTTTTTCCTCTCGTGACCACATACCTGTTTTTGAAGGACTACTTCCCAAAAGGTATCAGTTGTCACTTCAGTGATTAAATGCTGAGACGGGAACTGGGCAGAATCACTTCCAATGAGATGCCTTTTCAAGGGACTGTACAGAACGCTGAAGTTTTGAATAAAAGACTCTAAAAATAAAGAGAAAATGAGATCAACTCTTCTCTAGGTACAAGGAAAATAGCTGGCCTACTTTTAAACTCCACATTTTAAAAACTCAAATGACTTCATAGGCTCACATTTTTAACATTTCACCTATCAGCAAAACCCCACACAAAGCTGCCCAGGTGGCATCAGGTTTAGCTCTGGTAGTATTAACTCAGCAGACACAGTAATTTAGATAACAAAACACTATGCAGGGTTAGATGTTCTAATATTCATAGACTATTCTTTTTTTAAAAGGACTGCTCCACAAATAGACACCAGGTGAGACTATATAAATCATCAACAAGCCACAATCTTTTCAAGAAATTTCACTCTGTAATACGGAGACCTTTAAGCTTAACTACACAATGTAGAAATTGCACAAGCTACAGTAATGTGGAATGTGTTTAAATGCTCATTAATTTGAAGATGAGCTATGTTTTTTTTGTTTCCTTTATGAAGGTTCTTCAAGTTTCTTTTTTTTAAAGGTTAAGAAAAAATTATATGTAGTAAAAAAATACATAAATAAAACCTATAAATAAAACCTATAAATAATCAAAAACCTAACTTGAACCAAAAGTTTTATCCTTCCCACATATTCTGCCATCTTCAGAGTCCTTTGCTTCACTGGAAGCAATAGTAATTTGAATTTCACTTTTCTTTTCTTATTTTTTAAGAGACAGGGTCTCACTCTGTCACCCAGGCTGGAGTACAGTGCTGCATGCATAGCTCACTGCAGCCTTGAACTCCTGGGCTCAAGCAATCCTCCTACCTTGGCCTCCGCAGTAGCTGGGACTACAGGTGTACACCACTGCACTCAGCTAGAGTTTCAGTTCTTTTTATTATTTCATTATTTTTTTAAAGACAGGGTTTCACCATGTTGGTCAGGCTGGTCTTGAACTCCCAACCTCAGGTCATCTGCCCGCCTTGGCCTCCAAAGTGCTTGGATTACAGGTGTGAGCCACCACGCCCGGCCTCTTTTTCTTTCTTCTAACTCCCTCCATTTTGAGGTCCCAATCAATGCAGTGCAGAATGGAGGAAGAAGTGAAGAATGTCATGTGAATACTAAAAGGAATTCACGATCAGAATCTAAATAGCACTTAGCTGGCTATGTTTTTGAAACATGAAACCAAGAATTATTTCCTAATCTGAATAAAGCCTAAATTCTGAAACTGCCATAGAGATAGCTGACTTATGAGTTAACTCTCTAAACCAACAACGACACACAGTAGATGTTTTTTACAAGCTCCCTAAAAATTCTGTCACCAACTACAGGACAAAGAACAGCAAGGCTAAACATTTCAGAGGAGATACAGAGATGGAAAGAAATCTAAAAAAGGCTTCTTTCAATTACCCTTAAATTCAAAGTGAACACATTATGAGGTCATTAAACACTTGAGCATTACTGAACAGAATTCAGGAAAATCTCATACACACTACCTCAAAAATACATGCTTGTGGGAGCACTGACCCCATTTCTCTGGAGTCTGTTTCCCATTAAAAAAAAAATTGTTTCATTTTAAGAAAACACATCAAAATAACTTTAGAAAACATGAATTGGGAGTAATCTGTATTATCATTAGATTATGCCCTTCAAAAAGTGACTGGTCACAGGGTTCTTTTAAACACTGAGGAACTCTTGAATTTATAATATATAATTTGATGTAGAAAAATCAGTATTTACATAAAGCCTTTTCACAAATGTATCTAATGTAAGAAACAAGTTTCACCTGTATTTGAAAGAGAATGGCTAAAAAAACTTGCATGTACAAGCTCTGAGTCTTACTGTTGATTTCATACTTTATAAAACTTAATAGAAAAGGTTTCCTTCCCTACAAAATTCCTCCTTTCTCCATGTGGCATACACTGACCCTCCCACACGTTTCCAATGAGGCTGACCTAACATGGCTTTTGAATTCTCACTTCATTGCATGTAGTCAAGGGTGTCAGCAAAGCCCTGGGAACAGGCCACTGTGGTTCAGCCTAATGTTGCTGCCAAGCCTCGGGGCAAGCCCTGGATGCTTTCTCATCATGGAGAGTTACTCCTCAAAAAATGGGTTTTGCTTTTGCTAGTTTGCAACTGACACTTGTTTACTGCACTTTACACTTGATATAATCTAGGCATCCCAGGTCCTAGCAGTATTCCTCAGTAAAACAGCAGCAGAACAAATTAAGTCTTGTGGCCTTGATCCTTAGACATTTTAACCTGTGAGACAAAAAGGGAGGCAAGGCAGCTCTGTAGTCAAGGCTCACTTTCATCAGCCCCCAGGACATCCCACCAGAATGGCTCTTCACCTCCCTGCCAGTTCCAGTCCCCAAGTCCTCACTCCCTCCAGCTTCTTCTACCTTAGATATGTGAAATGTCTAATCGCCAATTTAGAAAGTGGGACTTTAACCCCCATGGAATAAATAACAAACTTATCCAAAATTTAGAGTTAGGATGTTTCTGTTCCATTTAATAGACAAAATTAACTTCTTGAAAATTATGACCGATGGTAGTCTCAAGACTTAAAATGAGCTACAGAGCTGGTATCACCCCACAATTAAATGTAATGAGAGCCGTCAATAAAATTTACCCATATGACGTCAAACAAAACGTACAATGCTTGGAGAAATAAACTGCCTACAGTACCTAGGGTGAGCTTCATCAATGCTTGCTTTGGATCCAAAATGTAGTGAGACTCTTCTTTCATGTCAACAATTGTGGCAAATTCTTTCACCTGAGTGGAGCTTGGAGCACCCAGTCTCTCCGCATATAACCAAAACAAATTTGAATCCAAAAGGTAGATGTTGAGAGTCTTGTTGGTTCTGCAGCTCAGGCCTGTGAAGTTTGTGCTAGTCATGTCTACTTCTGGAAAGAGATACCTGTTCTCCTCAATGTGAGGAATGGAGCTTGGGGCATCAACCTCACATTTCTTCTCAAAGGAAGAAAATGCAATGGTAAGGGCTTCAAGTTCAGAATCAATGAAGCCTGCCACACCCCTGCTTATGGTCCTGCAACATGCAGTGTAGTAGCTGAAGGGGCTATAGGAGGTTAAAAAATTGCTGCATTCTATGCTGTCTGATGCCACATGATAAAAGGTCTGCTCCTTGAGGTAGAAAGAATCCAAAGCTGCTGCCATTTCAAAAAAGCTGCACTGTGGCATGCTGACCGAGCTCGGCTTCACACCCACAGCGGTCTGGTTGACACAGAGTTCACAGACGTTGTGGGTCCTGGAGAAGGAATGCCATTGGGGCAGCACCACAGTGTTGCAGCAGGGGGATGCTGTGATCAGCGGTGGGTCTGGCAGCTGAGCTGGCGGTTCCAGGGCTAGGGACTCCAACATTGGAGCATCCACCCGCCGCAGATGCTGAAGAATACGCTCCACCACCTGGTCCCCATGACAGTTGTTGTACTCCAAGGCCACTTCGGTGATCTGAAATTTAGGGCAAAGTTGGTGAGAGGCTGGGGGATGACTGAGGAATTAGCACCCCCTTAGCCACATTTCTCTTTCTGCAATTTCAGTTACCCATGGTCAACTCTGGTTCAGAACTATTAAATGGAAAATTACAGAAATAAACATGTCTTAAGTTTTAAATGATGAAATTTTTGCCATTACAAAAATTTTGAGCCATTACAAAAAGTTTTTGCCATTACAAAAAAGCTACCAGCCTGTTTCTTAGTAGCCAACTCAGTTATCAGATCATCTGTCTCAGTATCGCAGTGCTTGTGTTCAGCTGACCCTTTATTTATTACAAGGGCCTCCAAAGTGCAAGGGTAGTGATGCTGGCAATTCAGATATGCCAAAGAGAAGCCAAAATGCTTCCTTTAAGTGAAATGGTGAAAGTCTCAATAAGAAAACAAAATGGTGAGGTTGCTAAAGTCTTCTTAAGAACAAATATTCTACTCATAAAATTATGAAGAAAAGTGAAATTTATGTGTAGTATATACAGGGTTCAGTACCAACTGTGGTTTCAGGCATTCACTGGGGGTCTTGGAACGTATCACCAAGAACATGCAGTGGGATAGAAGAGGGTACAGGGGAGGTGATTACTATATTTTTAAAAATACTACCCCAGGCATGACACTCCTGGGCCAAATGGTATGTTGCCTGTGAGATAAAACCTCTACACAATCTGGCCTGTTTGGTGTTCCAGTCTCACCCGACCCATTTCAGAACAGACCAGGCCCTCCTGCAATGCCACGCCTTCACGGAGGCCTGGCAGGGGATACCACCTCCTCCATCTGTTCCCAAGGTCCAGCACCAGGGCAGCTGCTTTAGAGAAGCTAACCCTACTCCCAGCTAGTTTCTATACATCCAGTGTCCCTGAGGCCCCTTCTACAGTCTCACAAGCTTCTGCTGAGACATCCCTCTTCCCCACAAGCTTATGGATCCTCATGGGCAGAAACCACATTTGATTTATCCTGCCATCCCTGGGGCCTAGCACAGAGCTAGGCACATAACAAATGTTCAGTAAATCTCTGATGAATGAGTGGCAGCTCAGGGTAATGGACACATTCCCCTTTCTTGGTAAGATTTGCCACTTTACTCTCAGGCCATATTGGCAATTTGGATTTACATTTTATTCCAAGACTCTTCCTCTTCCAAAAAGAATGTTTTATTACTCACCTCTCATTCTAGTTTCTTGAGAAGGACAAATGAGTTATAATCCAAAGGCATTTACTCTCTAAAACAGAAGAGTGTGTCAACTTGAATCAAATCTCACCAGGTAGTTACAGGGTGGTGTCACTCAGGATTTTGTTTCGTTAAAGTGTGTGTGTATTTGTGTAAAACAATTTAATGAGTGCATTTCCAATTTTAAAAAGTTTTATAAAAATACGTACATAAAAATTTTAAAAAGTTGTATGTAAAATTTAGAGTTAATTCAAAACATACATATTTGTACAGGAAAATAAATTATTTGTTGAAACAATTTATTTTCCTGTACAAATATGTATGTTTTGAATTAACTCTCTAAACTCTCTAAATATTACATAAAACTTGTAAACTAACTGGCATAAAAAAGTCACTATAACCCACCAGAGACCTACTGGGCGAAGAAAAGAAGTCACTTTAGATGACAGGCCAGTGCTTGAAATTGTATTTCCCCACACAAAAACATCTCAGCCGTTTTTGGCTGAAGCTCTGACAGCATGCTGTACTAACAAGGTCAAGCCTATATAATCTGTGAAGAGCCTGGATGCCCTCTGGCCCTAACCTGGTACTGCTTTATATTCAAAGACACAGTAACAGACAATTACTCCCACCCACTCCCCCCAAAACTTCCATAAGACTTCAAGATTTACTGTAATCTTTTATAGAAATCCAAGTAATTAATTACATAATAGAGAAGAAAATTTCTAGAAAAGTATTTCTTCATCTCTCCTATCTTTAGTATCTCATAAACAAAGCAGCCATGTGAAGAATATTTTTAATTGAAGAAAGAATTTTGTCTACAGCAATGCTTTTTTTTTTTTTTTTTTTTTTGAGACATAGTTTTGCTCTTGTCGCCCAGGCAGCAGTAAAATGGCCTGATCTCAGCTGCAACCTCTGCCTTATGGGTTCAAGCAATTCTCTCTTGCCTTAGCCTTTCAAGTAGCTGGGATTATAGGGATGCATCACCACGCCCAACTAATTTTTTCTATTTTTATTTTACCTAGCTAATTTTTTGGATTTTTAGTAGAGACATGGTTTCACTATGTTGGCCAGGCTGGTCTTGAACTCCTGACCTCAGGTGATCCTCCTGCCTCGGCCTCCAAAAGTGCTGGGAATACAAGTGTGAGCCACTGCATCCAACCAGCAATACTTTTTTTTGAGACGGAGTTTTGCTCCTGTTGCACAGGCTAGAGTGCAGTGGCCCGATCTTGGCTCACTGCAACCTCCGCCTCCCAGGTTCAAGCGATTCTCCTGCCTCAGCTTCCCAAGAAGTTGGGACTACAGGTGCACACCACCATGCTCAGCTAATTTTTATATGTTAGCCAGGCTGGTCTTGAACTCCTGTCCTCAGGTGATGTGATCCACCCGCCTCAGCCTCTGAAAGTGTTGGGATTACAGACATGAGCCACTGTGCTCACCAGCAATGCTCTTAAAGAGTTAGGCATTATCATTTTTCTCTTATGAAGTGGTATTTATGTTTCTATTCCTTTTATGTAATATGCAATTTTGAAAACACAACTCAAGTTATGTCACATTATGTGTATCACTTACTGTCACTTAATTACATGTGAATAATTAAGGAAATCTTGGCAAATAACTTTAACTGTTCGCACATTAGATGTTTCCTTCTATTTTCTTTAATCAGGGAAATCTGTAAGTCTGAACATGATAAGCATGCCTTTGCTTACCAGATTCAGATATGTGAATGCCTCAAATAAACGCTTTTAAAATAGAAAACAAGTCACAAAGACTCTTTGCTGGCTGAGGTAAGCATTTCCTTTGGTTAACAAATTGTGTAATACACACTACGATGTCTTATAACCTCTCTAGAACTGTCTAGACACACTAGGGTGTCAGTGGCCTTATGCTGGTGTCAGGTTGTATGCTTTTGTGTGTGTGTACACACAGGTACGTGTATGGGTGCACATGCAGGTATGCATGTGTGTAGGAGCAGCTACCCAGTCTGGCTTGCTGTGGCCACCATACAGTCACTCCTGCCTGGTATCCTACATGTACCACAGTACAATTGTCCAACCAGAACGTCTGTGCTTGGCATGCCTCCAACTCTATTTCCCTCACTCTAAGATGACCTCTCTCTTCTCAACAATGCAAGCATCCTCAACTTTCTGCCCAATATTAGGCCTAAGGTGATAATGGAAAAATAAAGGCACCTAAGTCTTTCACGTTCAACAAGCTAATGAATTTACAGCTCACATTATGTAAGTACAACATTCATCCTTCCCACCTAACCCGAATGCCCAATGGCTTCTTCACTCTAGTCACTGTGTCACAGTTTCCCTTATCCTAGACCCTACTTTCCATCCTCCATCTCTACCACCCAAGTTTGAGTTCTTACTACTTCTCAGTTTTCTGGAACCCTGCTATCAGAAAAACTTTAGTAATAGTAACGCACAGCTCTGGCCACAACTCTTCACTGTCAATAAGACTTGTGTGGGCCGGGTGCAGTGGCTCATGCCTATAATCCCAACACTCTGGGAGGCCAAGGAAGGCAGATGCTTGAGCCCAGAGCTTTTGAAACCAGCCTGGACAACATGGTGAAACCCATCTCTACAGAAAATTTCAAAAATTAGCCAGGCGTAGGGGCATGCACTTGTAGTCCCAGCTACTCAGGAGGCTGAGGTGTGAGGATCACTTGAGCTCAGGAGGCAGTAAGCTGAGACTGTGCCACTGCACTCCAACCCGGGCAACAAAAGAAGACCCTAACTGAAAAAAAAAAAAAAAAAAAAGATGACAACGATGACTTTATGACTATGATTAATCTTGAAATCCTCAGAGAAGTGCCCAAGGCTCTCTCCTCCAAAGGGTTTTTCAGGATCTCTCCAATTATCTGCAGACCACAAAACCCAGCCTCCTTCCTAACACCAGGACCTGCAGCAACTCTCCTCCCTCATGCCTCTGCTCAGGCTGCTCCTTCCAGTAAGTTTTTCTCAACCCACCAAGATCCTGGCTGCCCCTACAAGTCTGTCTCTAATACTTTCCCCATCCAAAGCCTCTGCTAACCACTCCCCTGCCCAGGCCCCTGCTTTCTGAGATAGCACCCTCTCTCCTCCAGTTCCTCCTGACCCTGGGCCTGGGCCTGATAGTCCTCTACTTTGAATTACAGGCAGAATTTCACTCCCTGTACTGGACACACTTCTAAGACCACAGGACAAGACTGATGCGATGGTGTCCCATCTATCCATTCTACTCTGGAGCTTCCCAGGAGAGTGCTCAGTAAACATTTGCCAGACCGACCTGAAACAAAGAGGGAAATGTGCTGGATACGCACTTCGCTTGCCTGAGTAATTCATAATACTATGAGATACTGCCTGGTGTTCAGTCATCTCACCCACACACTGAGGTTAAGGGAATGCACCCACCTCACAGAGATACTAGGAGCCCCAAGGAAAGGAGCCACAGGCAAAACCATGATAAAAAGGAGGCATGTTGATAGGTGGAGGAGTTGCGGGTTGCTGGAGGGACAGTCATTCAGGAAACAAAGGTGGCAAAGAAAGTGTCTTCCCACCAAGTGCCTAGATCCAACCACAATCCTCTGGGCAGAGGCTCTGGGCTCCTGCCACAAAATACCACTCCCACAGGACCCCGACACACTCAAACCAGACAGGAGAGAACCTTCCAAATCCACAACCATAGCCATATCACATTGGTATGAAGTGCTGGATAACCCTTCCTTCCCTACAACAAGCTTTAAGGCTCTTAATATTAGATACAGTAAAGGTCTAGTCATTTGAAACAGTGTCTCAGTTTACAAACTATCCATGTAGTGAAAATTTTCTAAAGAAAAGTTTTACTGAGTCCTCCCTAATTAGTGCGGAAGAAACAAAGCTATTTTTCTCTTTTCTTTCTTCCTCTAACCCAAAGAGCAGCATTCATTCAGAAATAATGTTCTATTATTTTGAGTCCTCCCTAATTAGAAGGGAAAAAACCAAACCTATTTCTTTCCTCTTTCTTCCTCTAAGCCAAAGAGAGCAGGATTCATTCAGAATACTCCCCAGAGGGACTTAGAACTTAAGCAAAAAGACCTCCACAACAGCAAAAGGAGATATCCAGCTGGGTGAGAAGTCCTGCCTCCCCTTCCTTACAGGCAGGCGGCCAGGCCAGCACTGAGGGGCTCAAGGATAGGCAGCATCTGCTTAGCTGGCCAGTGGTACACTGGCTGGCCGAAATTGGTGTTGGCTAATTAAGGGATCCTTGAGGGAGAGAAAAAATAAAACCCTCAGTAAATGCAATTTCACTCCCCAGGCTCACTCTGTGTACTGTGCCTGCTGTCTCAAAGGGCCTCCAAATGCTCCGTGTAGAAAATAAACTTTCGCCCAGAATGTATGCGCACCAGATGAAGCCGAAGACGTGCAAGAACAGCAGGCTCTGACGGCACCGCTTCTGAAAAGCACTCTGGCTTCTGCACAACAGGGAAGGTTCAGAGAAACAAGGTGTTCCAATGTCGCTGCTGCTGCTCCTGATCTCTGAGGACCCCCAAGACAATGGCATCTCCTAGGCCACGCTAAACTTGGCCTGTGTTCCTGCCACTCCCTATTTCACCCCCTAAACAGGAAGGTCAACAGCAGTCACATCAGAAGAGGGCATTTCGTCTTTCCCTAGAGGGGCACAGTATGGCTTCCCTGCCTCCTCCTACTCACCCGAGATCCCAACAGCTGTCAATAAATATGTCCAGAGAGGCTGTGCCAGTCCCTGTCCTAGATACGAGCTCTCTCCTGCCCATCTGAAGGGGAAAAGAGCAATGCTCAGACCGCAGCTGCCCCTCCTGGTGGCCATCAGCTGCCAGCGTAAATGGCTGTGTACAGGATGAGAGAGGCCAGGTAGATGAGGCTTTCCTACTTCTTATGGGGTGCTTTTAACATCACGGTTCTTACCTCGTCTATTAAAGGATGACTTTCGGCCAGGGGATTAAAAGGTATGAATAGAAACAGCGCCGGTCCTTTCTTCAGCTCATTATTCAGCAGGAGACTCTTGCCTCCGTGTGGCCGTAGCCACCGAAAGAGTGTCTCCCGGTTTTCTAAGGCCCACTTACAGATGTTCTCGGCTGTGTAGTTCAGGACCTCCCTGGGGAAGACCTGCGAAAGACAAAGGCACAGAGGATAAAGGAGACCTAAGTGAGGGAGGGCAGGCTCCAGGCACATCGGCGCTGTTCCAACCCCACCAATGCAGGTGAGAAAACCCAGGCTCGGAGTGGGACCTGCCCCTGCTGTGCAGGTAACGCCCTCTTCTCCAGAGACAGCATTCCTCACAAGTGGCGAATAAACCAAAGTGGTTGCAGGAGGTGACTTCCATATTGTATGATTCATCTTTCTGCCATGACACAGAACTACCTATCAACAAATCATTCTCCCTGCCGGTTGGTGGCAATAACAACCTCTATCACCCTGTTCAAGGACAGGTATTAAACATTACTGGGTGTTTATAAAAGGACCAAGACATATGTAAGAGAACAGAAATTACAGAGTCAAGGATCATTTAGATTTTTACCTTAGCCTTTTAAATGCTGCCCCACAAGGGCAGAACAGAGTCTCTGTGAGGCACAGGCTGTTCTGTTCACCTGTGTCCTCCATGACTAGACAAACACCAGGCACAGAGCAGGAACTCAACACTTGTCTGAATTAATCAACAAATGACCCAAACTTGCACGAGGCCATGGATCACATTTTATGTGTACAAATAAATAAAAGAGACACTTAAAATTTTTTGCTTTGTTTTGCTATAAACAACCAATGTACGTAAATATACAATTATTTTTTAATTCTAACAGTATAAATCACTGGCTTCAAACAGAACTACCAAAGGGATGCTTCAGAGGGATTTATGAAATGGGATATTTAAAACTCCTCAAAATGAAGATTTAAATTGACTCATAACAAAGATGTCCACTGCTTGTATTTTTAAAAATAATGGTGTCTCCCAATATTATTGCATTTGATGAAAGAAATTCTACCAAATCGAAGCAGTAAACCTGATATATTTTCCATCTCATCTCATAGTCCTACCTTTTTTCCCTCATCTACTTTAAATTTCTTTCTCAGTACCCTTTACTATAAATAAATATATGTAGGCTGTGTAACATGCTAAAAATGAAGGATGTAGGAAAATGACAGATAGCAAAAGCTGATGATGTCAAAGCAGCTTAGGTAGCAGCACAAGGAGCGTAGGTGGGCAGCAGAGAAACAACCACGGCAGTGACTGTCAAGGTGAGATGATGGGAGTTTGAAAAACCATACTTGAACTACCTCAAACATTTCTATTTGGAAAACACAAAAATTCATTTGACCTTTGGAATATAAACTGACAGAAGTAAGGCATAACATCTGGGCTCTGAGAGACATGCAGAAGCCAGGGTGAGTGGTGAGCAAGGGGGCACTCCTGGAATTGGCCCAAAAGTCCCTCCGAAGGCACAAGACTTATATACTGTGCCAAGGGGGGGGCACGGGTTTTAAAGGCTGGGTACACTGGGTGCAGGGAAATTGATCTGTATACAACCTGTAAGTTACTGACAATAACATGAGAGAGACAGAATACTTCAGAAAAGTAAACTCAGTGATGTGACTGAGGAAGCAGCAATCAATAGAGTAGAAGCACAGGACTGAGCAGAACACAGGTCAAGCTCAGTAACAGCTGAGTTCAGGCTGTTCCACGAGAAAGCAAATGAAATCAGGAAACAAAGGTGACAATGGAAAACCAAGGCTCTCTTGGATGAGAAGCCATTAACTTCTCACTGTGACTTGATAAGAACTTCAAAAATCCATTACATCAGCTAAGGAGAAAAGCATGTCACATGACTACTCTTCATAAAAGGAATAAACAGAGAACATCACTCAGCGGAAGCTTAACCTCTGAGAACATGGGCTCAGAGTAACAATACTCCAAGAGAATAACTCTGCAATTTTATCCAAGAAGAAAAATTTGCAAGTCTGTACCAAAATCTAAGACTATAAATAAAGAATTTCTATATGTTAAATTCAAGAGCCCTCTAATGCATGGGTTCTTAACCTGGGGCCTGGGCTCTAGGGTGGGGCTGTAAGAACTCTCCATTCAAATATAAAATCATGTGCGATCATGTGCGCTTTTCTAGAGAGTGCCCATTGATTGTACCCAATTCTCAAAGGAGTCCGTGACCTAAACAAGGTTAAGAACCACTGCACTAATATAAACGTGATTTCAAAATACTTACAAGTGATGTGTTGAAATGTCTATGTAAATACACACTTCCAGAGTGTACTAAGGATACCAGTTTCGCAAGATGTTTATTTGTGATAACCCCAAATCGTACTGTTCCTAGGTAATCTGAAACAGAAAATTTTCCTTTATTAAAGAAAAGGCCTATGCCTTAAAACAACCACAAAACCCAATGATCAATTCTTGATGCACAAACCCCTGGAGCAAAGCTCCTTCTGGTAACCTAGCCTCAAGAGGGAAGAAGAGGAGGTGAGGAACCTCTCCTCCTGACACAGACCTCAGCCCCTGCGATGTCAAGCCTGCTCCTGAGAGGATGTCTCTAAGTAAACTCTCTGACAATCACCTGTGCTGAGGAGTCCCCTGTATCCATCTTATGATGGTCTGACGTGTCCTCCTTGATCACAGGCCAAGGCACATGCTGTTCTCTTTATCTAGACACTTCTTGTGGCTGATCTCCTACTTTCTCTGAGAAGCCTTCTTTGACCACCCCACCTAACAGCAAATACTTAGGAGACAGAGTCTACAAAGGGAAACTGGGCTCCCAAACCACTCAGGTACTCTCTTTTTTTTATAGCACTTCTTAACATCTGCATAATCTCATTCTCACCTAAAAAATCTCACCCTGTTTTTTATAGCACTTCTTAACATCTGCATAATCTTCTTCTTTTACTTGGATTTCTTTGGTCCAATATCCTCTTTTTTTGATTTTTAGAGACAGTCTTGTTCTGTGGCCCAGGCTGGAGTGCAGTGGTATGATCTTGACTCGCTACAACCTCTGTCTCCTGGGCTCAAGTGACTCTCCTGCCTCAGCCTCCCAAGTAGCTGTGATTACAGGCATGCACCACCACACCCAGCTAGTTTTTATAATATATATATGTATTTTTTTTTTTTTGAGATCTCGCTCTGTGCTAGAGTGCAGTGGCATGGTCTCGGCTTACTGCAACCTCTGCCTCCTGGGTCCCAGTTCAAGCAATTCTCCTACCTCAGCCTCCCAAGTATCTGGGATTACAGGCATGAGCCACCATGCCCAGCTAATTTTTGTATTTTTTGGTAGAGATGGGGTTTCACCACATTGGTCAGTCTGGTCATGAACTCCCAACTTCATGATCTGCCTGCCTTGGCCTCCCAAAGTGCTGGGATTATAGGCATGAGCCACCGCATCCGGCCTTAGTTTTTGTATTTTAACAGGCACAAGAGTTCACCCTGTTGGCCAGGCTGGTCTCAAACTCCTGACCTCAAGTGATCTGACCACCTCCGCCTCATAAAGTGCCAAGTATGAGCCACCATGCCTGGCCCAATTTCCTCTTCTGACTGTAATTTCTGTGAAATTAGAGACTTTGCTTCATGCTGGTATCCCAGCACCTACAGAAGTGCCAGGGTGTATAGTGACAGATCAAAACACATTGACTAAATTGAACAAATCTAGCATATACAAAGACTGATACAAATCAACAAGAAAAGGAAAACTGTTAAAATGGGCAAATCACAGAAAAAGAAATGTGTATAGATGGCTAATAATTACAGAAAATAAACTCAACCTCATTATTTTGAAAGAAAGCAAATTAAAACAAAATACTACTTTTAACCCTCAAATTGCCCAGAATTTAAGATATAGGAAACATCAAGTATTGACCAATAGTAGAGAAACGAGTATCCTGCTGTGATGCTGAGGGAAAAAGTCAAAACGGCACAGCCACTCAGGAGAGCAGCTGCTGAAGTGACTAGATAAAGAATGGACACAGCCAGGATTTCCACTGCTGAGCATCCACACGTGTGTCAGGAGTCACAGGCAAGGATATTCACCAAGAAACACTCTGCAAATGTTAAGAACAATGAGGCAGGACTATACACCACAAAGAGAAGCTGAAGAAGTTAGAGTAGACCTTTAATACTAATGAAAGAAAGAAAAAGAAAAAAAGAAAAAGACTGACACTTATAAAACAGTTTGTGTGTGTGTGTATTTTTTTTCCTACATGTTTAGAAATGTATATTTTTTCTAATGTTTAGAAATGTATAAAGAATCTAAAAGGATAATAAAAGTGGTTTGATGTTGGGGAACAAACATCAACAGGGAACTTACATGTGAAACTTCATTTTTTTCATGGAGTATATCATATTTGTGTGATTATAAAGTATTTAGTGTTAAAGGAGGGTGAATAAGATACTACAGAACAAGGTACATTCTATCCTATCCCCTTTTTGCTTTATTAGCACATGCTAAATAAAATATCAGTTAAACTTTAGGCCAGGTGCAATGGCCCATGCCCTTAGCCTTAGTACTTTGGGAGGCCAAGGTGGGTGGACTGCCTGAGCTGAGAAGTCTGAGACCAGCCTGGCCAACATGGTGAAACGCTTTCTCCACTAAAAATACAAAAATTAGCCAGATGTGTTGTGGCAGACACCTGTAATCCCAGCTACTCGGGAGGCTGAGGCACAAAAACCGCTTGAACCTGGGAGGTGGAGGTTGCCATGAGCTGAGATCCTGAGATGGTGCCACTGTACTCCAGCCTTGGTGACATAGAGAGACTCTGTCTCCAAAACAATAAATAAATTTTTTGAAAAAAATCAGTTAAACATCAAATGTTACCAAATTATATACAAGTAGCTAAGATATAAAAATATTGAGGTGCTAAACCCATAAAGTTTCTAGTTTCATCCCATGAGCCCCACTTTCAGCGGTGTGATCCTCTCTCCCTCAGGTAAGGAGTGGCCAAGAAGAATGAGGTGAGAGTAAATATGTCTCTACCACCAGAGTCAATAATTTTTCATACCAACCTGGTGAGTTTAAAATGGCACAAAACAAAAGAAATATAGGACAAATAAGCCAGAAATTAAACAGTCTGGTTACTTACAGGTGGCTGGGGAAAAGGGAAGGGGAATGGGAAAGCAGGGCTGAGAGGCCTGGCACTGAGTAGGCCTTTCAGTGTCTGACTCCTAGGGCCAGAGTGATGTTTCACATACCCTTCACATACTCCAAAATTAAACAAGTAATTAAAACCAAGTGAGATGGGGCAAGCCCAATGTGGAATACAGCATGTACAAATAACCCTAAGTATTGCAAACAGGTAACACCACAGTGAAGGAGATGGGAAGAAAGAACTAACCTAATAACTGGAAAACAGTATCTTGACAATGCTGAAAAACTAAAGGCAAAAATAATTGTACATAAGTGCTGTAAATCTAGGTAGTGTTTCTTAAAGAGATATAAGTTAGCAATTCTGCAACTACTAACTTACTTCGTATTTCTTTGTAGTAAATACATTATAGCCAGGACTCTCACTGTTGGACAAAGAATTCATATATTAACAAAGGAAGGCAAAAATAAACCCTGTGATGTTAAATTGAAATCAGAGAGAATCAGTATAATCTTACAGCTTTTGATACACACAGACAGACAGACACACACACACACACACAGAGAGAGAGAGAGAGAGAGAGAGAGAGAGAGAGAGAGAGAGAGAAAATGGATACAGAAATATAAATATGTGCATGTGTGTGGGTATAAATACAGTTCCTAGATCTATCCGCTGAGAAGACCTAGAATGACGTCCTGATACCAAAGAGCATACCCAGCACATAGATGATCTTGGTTTCTAATGCCATTTACATTCTCTAGTAAAAGAAACCAGGACCCTTGGAGAAGAGGTTGATTCCAGAGCTGGGGTGAAGAAAGCACAAGATAAGCCTGAAATATCTTGTATCAGAAGGAAAGAAGCGGGCCGGGCAAGGTGACTCATGCCTGTAATCCCAGCACTTTGGGAAGCTCAGACAGGCAGATCACCTAAGGTCAGGAGTTTGAGACCAGTCTGCCCAACATGGTGAAAACCCATCTCTACTAAAAATACAAAAATTAGCCAGGTATGTTGGTGGGCGCCTGTAATTCCAGCTATTCAGTAGGCTGAGAAAAAAGAATCACTTGAATCTGGGAGACGGAGGTTGCAGGGAGCCAAGATTTTGTCATTACCCTCCAAGCTGGGCAACAAGAGTGAAATTCCGTCTCAAAAAAAAAAAAAAGGAAAGAAGTGCTCATAATAAGATAAGGGTTTGTCCAAAGGACACAGGAGCCAAGCCAAAGCCCTCCAAGTAGCCAAAGTTGGAACAATGTGAGGAAGAAAATAAACAACGACAGTACAAAGAATAAGATAAATACCCATGGCTCCATAATGATATTGATGAGAACAGTCAGCTCTTCTTACAGGAGAATTCCACTAATAATGAAAAAAGAATGAAGGAAATAGAAAATAACCATCTGAATACCAGAGTAATTGCTGCAGGCAAGATCCACTGATGGAGGCTAAAATTAGTGGGCAAAAGTTTGAGTTTACATAGTCTCAAATGATCTTTCCCCAAGGAATTTATTTATTAATTACAAAGGAAAAGATACTAACTTTTCAGTGGAGAAACCCAGCAAACACTACTTTAACCAAGTGATCAAAGTTAACGTCACCTGTAGGAGATGACACATAACAGGTGTCTACCACCATGCCTGGCCAATTTTTTTATTTTTAGTAGAGATGGGGTTTCACCATGTTGGCAGGCTGGTCTCAAACTCCTGACCTCAGGCGATCCTGACACCGCATGAACCCCTTGATAAGAAGTGCTGAAAAGGACCTATTTCTATGGCATTGTTGTCAAAAGGCAACAATCACAAGAAAACAGACAAAATTGAGTGATTTTTCTACAAAATACCCAAGAAGTATTCTTCAGAAGTGTCAAGGTTATATATAAAGCATAAGGAAAGACAGAGGCTTTGTCATAGGTTGGAGGAAACAGAAAAAACCAACTCGTCGCGATATGGGATCCCAGGCGGATCCTGAAACAAAAAGACACTCATGGAAACACTGAGACAATCCAAATGAGGGCTGCAGTTTGGTGAATAGGACTGTACCAATGTTAATTAATTTCTTTTGGTTTTTTTTTTTTGAGACGGAGTCTCGCTCCGTTGCCCAGGCTGGAGTGCAGTGGCGCAATATCGGCTCACCCTCAAGCGATTCTCCTGCCTCAGCAATCAGAGTAGCTATGACTACAGGCATGCACCATCACATCCTCTAACTTTTTTGTATTTTTAGTAGAGACAAGGTTTCACCATGTTGGCCAGGCTGGTCTTG